CAGCTGGAAATCTCTTGGTGAAATGCCTTCTCCTGCTCCTTTTCTATCCAGGGCTCAGCTGTGCTCTTCTAGTGTAGGCGCCAAAGGAAGGGCATCCCCCGCCCACCCCACAGCCAGCGGCAAACTCCCCTGGCTGGAAGCATTTCCCTGGTTTATTTTGCAAGGTTTCCACCATTACCATGGGCCGACACAGCATTGATCTTCTGCCTTTTGCCTTGGTAGCTTCTGGTAGGAGAAGCTATTATTGATGTGAGACAGTGAAAGAGGGAAGGTGTGAGCAAAGCCATGGGAGGCAGCCGGGTGGACGTTCGCCTGCTGAGTCCCTGTGTTTTCTGGTCCTAGACATGGCGGCTCAAGCCTATTGGCTTCCAGTGGGTATATCAAGGATGGTCCCAGCCTCCTTCAGCTTTGAATAATCTGAGAACTGGGGAGCTGGCAGGGGCCCAGAGGATGATCCAGTCTGGCCCCTGTCCAGGAGGCACAGCAGGGAATCAAGCTCCCAACATCTGGCTCCACCATTGATTTTGCTGCTTGGGGCTGATGGGGGCTGGAACCTGAAACATCTGGAGGGACATGAGTGGCCCACCTCTTGCATAGAGAGCAGCTTCCAGCAGACTGTTCCTTGGAAGGAAGTATGTTCAAAACGAACTTTTAAAGGCCGTCTTTAAGAGGGATTTTGACAGAAATTTTGCATGGTTTATGCCGTTTGCTAAGGGTCTCTCTCCCCTCACCCTTCCCCAAAGTAACAGAAAAGTAACAACCAACAAAAGCAATATAGCGAGTTAAAAACAAAAAGAATTAATAGGGACAATTCAGGTTACAAACTGTGTGAAAACTGGCAGGAACTCACTCCCCCACACCCCATACACAATAAAATTGCTTCCGAAACTTGCCTCTAGTCCCCCATTCCCTTGCTTTGCTTGCCTCTGAGTTAAGGTTCTTTGGAATTATAACCAGGGGCCAAAGAGCCTTGAGTTTTCCTCGTGAGTAGAAAGAATGGAGCCCAAGAAAGCTGCTCCTTTTGGACAACGGCCCCCACTCTGGATGTTGCTGTCCAAAAATGGAGCTTTGCCCAGCTCTGAGAAATAGTGACTCTTCCCTTTGTATGTGATTTTCCC